ATATTTATAATTTTTTAAATCACAAAAAATAATTTATATTTTAAATAAATTTCAGAATTTTTATTTATAATTTACTCTAAATAATTTATGAAAATAATAATTTGTCAAACTATTTACATACTATGGGTTGGTTTGGAAAGTGGGTTAGTTTTTTAACTTTTAACTTTTTTAGTTTTTTAACTTTTTAACTTTTTTAGTTTGAGAATGACTTTTTGACTTTTTAAATTTTTTAAATTTTTTTGTGAGAGAAGAGTGTAATGATTATGAATTAGATGTGATGTTTTGTTTTTTGTAGTTAAAATAACCTATTTTGTGTTTTGTGGCTAAAATAGTCAAAAAAATTCCCATATCATTCTTCTCAAACGGTGCCATGAAACACACCAGATAAAAATCTCACTTGCATTACAATCACACCATTGTCAGTCATCATCTAAAAGTTATTGACGGGTCTTGGATATCGCTGCGTAATAGTGGTGTTACACGTGTATTTTAACAGAAGTGATGGGGGAGCCCTAAATACTACAGTATTAATAGTTTTAACTAAGGGTGAGCAGCGGATATATCGATCCGTCAAAATCGACCGAACCGAACCGATCCGTCGCATTTTGGACGGATGCGTGATGATGAGCGGACGGTTGCGGATTGATTTTCTCCAGTCCGCCAATTTGGCGGACGGATAGCGGATTTGAGATTTTTTGGCCGCAACCGAACCGCCAAATCGCGAGCACCTGTAGTAATTTATAAGACTTTGTATTTTCAATTTGTTTAAATATTATGTTTGTATTTTCAATTGAAAAAGAGTTTAAATATTCTGTTGAAAAAAAGTTTTTAATTTGAATATATTTTTGAATTGAAAAAAATAAACGTATTATTCATCTATATTTTTTAGTTTTTAAATCTAATTCTAAAAATAATAAATAGAAAATATGATATATGTTGGTTGGTTTTTGTTTTCAAAAACATATGTAGATGTAACAATATAGAGACATTCAATCTCTACTACTGCTCTGTTTATGGTTTTGGTGGTTTGAATTGTTATTATATTTTAAGAATCACGGATTGTAATACTTTATAGGGATGAATCATGGTGTGATTGTAATATGTGGATGAAGTATGCAGTGATCGTGATATTCTAAAGTTTCAAACTTTCTTTCTTTGGATAAGACATACAGTGATTGTAATACTTTTTTAAGTCATTGACTATAATACTTTTTTTTTTCTTTTTTTTTTTTAAGGAAGTGCACAAGTTGAATTATGTTAAAAATTTATAAAATTTTAAACCGCCAAACCGATTCACATCCATCCGCCAAACCGCCAATCCGCTCAATCCACATCCGCCGGATTGGCGGACGGATGCGGATTGATTTTCTTCAATCCGCCAATCTGGCGGAGGGATGGCGGATTGGAGGTTTCGTGGCCGCAACCGACCACGAGGTGAAAATAAAAAAATAAATAAAAATAAGAGAGACACCCATCATACTGTGAGAGAAGTCGGCTCATTGGTGCTCCTTTTAATAGTCTCAAATATTTTTGATATTTTAATTGATGGAAATAATAAAATCATAATTTTAAGGATTGTTTTGAATGATATTTTTTAATTTTTATAAAAAAAAATATATAAAAATTTTTTAAAAAATAATATGACCTAAATATATTTATATTATGCATATCAAATATTTTTTAAATAATTAAAATCAAATAATTTTTAAATAATTAAAAATATAAAAATTTGTGATTCACCACTACAGAGAGCGATCAATAATTTTTCCTCCATCATCAGCATCACAATCTAACTGCAGGAGCATCACATCGTGGTCATCATCACCACCCTCGATCACACCCACCTCTCCTCATTTATTTCCACTCTCACTCAACCTCCCAAATCAAAACAAACAAACAACTCTTTCATGTCAGAGAGAAAAAATGGTAACCCACTCTCACTCCCTGTCTCTCTCTCTCTCTCTCTCTCTCTAACCCTGTTGGACAACCACATTGGCTCTGATTGAACCACATTCGTCTCGCACTTCTCGAGCCATGGCTGCAGCACTGGAATGCTGGTCGAGCCGCGCGAGCACCGACGAGGACATGGTCGAGCAAGTCTTGATGCGAACCCAAGACCGATCGGAAGGCCTGCCGGAGAACTCATCGTCGTCGTCCTCCTCCTCCTCTTCCTCCGCCACGGCCGCCGCTATCGCCGGCGTCAAGGAGTCGTCGGCGATGCAAAAGCGGTTTCAGAGGCTGAGCCGCAACGTTTCCGAGGCCATCGCCTCGCTCAAGAACTCACTCAATCTCGACTCGGCTCGTGACTCGCCTCCGCCGCCGCAGTCTCGGATCGAGAGCTGCCGGAAAGTCGTCTGGGGCAGCGTTGTAAGGAACTTGACTCAACTCTATCCCGGTAGTCAGCTTCCAGAGAAGCTCGTCTCCAACATCCGCAAACACTACGATTCATTACCACTCAGGTTCGAACTCACTTTCAACACACTCGATCTTTCTCTCTCGGTTTGGTTGCTCAGAAAGTAACGGTTTTACCGAGAATCTGGACCACAGTGATAACGATATTAGATTCCGATTCCAAATGATTTTAATTTTCCAAATAGGTTCGATTAGTTGATTCGATTTGTATATCTAACTTTGTGCTGTATTGTTTTCTGGTGTTATTGTTCTCAACAGCTATGCACAGGCTGGATTTGATATGAAAGATGTGTTTATGCATATCAAATTGATAGAGCAAGCTTCCGTGGATGATCAGCCGGCGATTTTGATTCAAGAGGTTTCTGATGATGAAGTTCAAGGCTCTGTTTTTAAGCTTACATTTGCTTGTAACTCTGCAATTTCTTGGGCAGCCATGTCCGGTGCCCTGGATAGCGCTTCGATTTGTTGCAAGAAGATACAGATTTTTGAGAAAAAGGGTTTCACGCTAGGAATTGTTTTGCTTCTAGTTCAACCTGGGCAAGAGAAATTGTTCAAAACCCTGATCGAAAATGCTCTGAAATCGTCTTTGAAGAAGCCAAAATCTACAACAATGAAGCTTGCATTTGGTTTATGTGGGTGTCAAGAAGAGAATACTAGAGGGAGAGAGCTTGGAGAGATCGATGAGGATTGCAGCGAACCCAATTACAGGAATGGGATCGAGAATTCGAGTGTGAAGATTCAGCTTGAGATGCCTTTACCTACTTCATCTTTTGTTGTTTCTGTTGATGAATGGCAGACGGTTCAATCGGGTGGGGCCGAGATCGGGAATTGGTTGCTCAACTCTGATAGTCTTGAGTTTATTGATCAGATCGGACACAATACATTCAAGGGAGTTTATAAGGGCAAGAGGGTCGGAATTGAGAAGCTCAAGGGGTGTGATAAGGGAAATTCGTATGAATTTGAGCTCCGAAAAGATTTGCTGGAGTTGATGACTTGTGGACATAAGAATATTTTGCAGTTTTATGGTGTTTGCGTAGATGAAGTTCATGGATTATGCGTCGTGACTAAGTACATGGAAGGTGGGTCAGTTCATGATATTATGCTGAAGAACAAGAAACTACAGACTAAGGAAATTATAAGGATTGCTGCGGATGTGGCAGAAGGGATGAAGTTCATGAACGACCATGGTGTTGCATACAAAGATCTGAACACACAGAGGATCTTGTTGGATCGTCACGGGAATGCTTGTTTGGGAGACATGGGTATAGTCACTGCTTGTAAGAGTGTTGGGGATGCAATGGAGTATGAAACTGATGGTTACCGGTGGCTGGCTCCTGAGGTTTGTTCCCCCACATCATTTTACTCAAATGAAAAAAAGAAGTAATTCCATTATGTTCATGTAATACACTTAGTCTATCCAAATGGTGATACACTAGTTAGTCCAAGCAATGAGCTTAATTTCATCAATTGGAATGATTCGTATGCGTCTCCAAAAGCATTTTAAACAAGTTTTTCTAAAAGTGGATAACCAGGGAGGGATTTGTGTCTTCAAATCCAATGAAAACAAAACGAAATTGTTCATCTTCCATGGGATACTCAGATATGCATTGAACAACTTGATTAATCTTTTTTTTCCAAGATTTCATTTGAAGTTTTAAGGCAAAGAGTGGAACCTGTTGGGAAATGAAACTGCTAAATTTTGGGTTGCATAAGAATGGTTTTTGTTTCTACTTGGTGTTTTCAAACTGTTTCTGGTTTGCTACATTTGTTTTATTCTTTTCTAGATTTCAAATAATGGCATCCTTGACTAATTTTCGGTTATTATTTAAGTGGTTAAGGATTTTGAAAGGCATTGGTGTCATTGTGTCAATTGTTCGATTCTAAAATTTTGGCTAGAGACAAAAGAGAGAGAGATATAATTGGATAATTAGTTGGATAATACAATGGTTTGGTACTTAATCCAATGGTTTGGTACTTAATGTTGTAGAAACAATAGATGATTTAATCTGAACTTTACTATGTTGATGATGTGTATTTTCTGGTGATGATACCACTGTAGACCATCATTATAAAGTGTTTGTGAATCATATCTTGCTCTATTGTGGTTTATTAACTCATCATTGTCTATCAAGAGTAAAGTTCCTTTTCACAGGAGATATATTATAGTTTAACTATACGTTCAAGTGCATTACTTGGATTCAATGTATGTGAATGGGGCTTTTAAGGGCCAGTCTTATTCAAGGAGAACTTTATGTCACTTATCTAACATCATTGTTTGAGCATGCGTAACATGGCTTCATAATTGTTTTGCTTTACATTTAAATAGTTGTTTACCTTCATTTAAGAACTTGTATATGTTCCATAAAACAAATATACTGGCTGTATCTTATTGGAAGAATTACTTCCATGAAATTGCTCTAATCAATGCTGTCCACTTATCTGATCTTTCAAAACTCAGCACTGGCTTTTCCCCCCAAAATAACCTAGTCTGTTTTTAGACTTGTTTGTTGAGCTTTTGGAGGCATGATCCTTTTCAACATTCATTGGCTTCTTGAAATTGATATCATGGGTGTGTGTTTATGAAGCAAGTCTTAGAACTACACAAGGGACCACAATATTATATCTCGAGGCCTGCTTTATTATTATTTTTAAAAAAAAAAGAATGTATAGATAAAAGCATTATCAACTTTACATATAATTTAATTTTTCGAACCACCAAGGTAGCCTGTTAACTCCGTCAAACATCAGAAATTATTTCAATAATGAATTTCCTGAACTCAAAACCTTGTTCTTTTTTCTGTTTTTTTTTTCTTTTTTAATCTTTTCGGCTGGAAAAATTTGTAAATTGGACATGTCAATTAGAAGTTTGTCTACCTTGAAATGGCTTTTAAGTTTAAATAGAACACAAGTGAATAAATCTTGTGAAATCTTCCCATCATCTAAGTTTGCTGATCTCTCTTTGATTGTATGTATAGTGAGTTATGGAAGTTATGTAATGGTGTTTGGCATATTTTTTGTTGTAAACAGATTATTGCAGGTGACCCAGAAAGTGTTACAGAATCATGGATGAGTAACGTCTATAGTTTTGGGATGGTAATCTGGGAGATGGTGACTGGTGAGGCAGCCTATTCTGCATATTCACCCGTACAGGCAGCTGTAGGGATAGCTGCTTGCGGGCTTAGGCCTGAAATCCCCAAGGACTGTCCACAAATCCTCAGAACTTTGATGATGAAGTGCTGGAACAATTGCCCTTCGAAGCGTCCCCAATTCTCTGAAATTCTGTCGATGTTGCTGCGGCCCAACAACAGCAACAACAACAGCAGTAAGTAAAAAGTCCTGATGATCTCTTACGAACCTAATCTACTGATACTAAATGTTTCAGTACAAAGAGCCTCCTATCATATAGGTGCTGCCATTTCAATATGTAGATGTAAGATGTTTGATTTTCTCGACAGAAATGAAGATGTAAATCTTCTACTTTAGCTTTGAAATCAACCTTTCTTACCAGAGTGCAGAAAAACATAGAAAAGTGAAATATTATTTTGTGTTCATTGTTTTCTCTAGGTTGGAATGTGTTTTATTCTTGATGAAGATGTGACTGGTGGGAAATCAATTATGTTTTTTCCTCGTATGTGTGCCGTTTGGGTGACGGGGCATTTCAGATTACTAAGGAAAATCAATAAAATACAGAAAAGGGGAGAAAAAGCAAAAGAAAGGAGATTGTGGTTTGATGGGCCTACAAGTTTTTGAGTAATCTAAGGGTGTTTTGTATTTAGCTCTTCTTTTTTGTTCCTCTAGTGGGTCTCCGAGGGGCCCAAGAGACCCTCCTCCTGTTTTTTTGTCACAAGGGAGGTGAGAAACTATGGGACACCTCTCCTTTCCTCTCCCATCTTTCAGTCTTCAAGTGTCAATTTCTTTGGACTAGCTGTCAATTTATTTGGTCTAATCAACCTTGCTTGAAAAATTCCAAATATATGACCTTTTTTGTACTCATATAGTTGGGGGGCATTACAAGTGACAATACGGTCAGGGTGTCACAAGTTTTTCCTATGTGTCTGCTAGTTATGTTGGATCAAGCACTGCCATTTCAGACCTGAAATTGGATTAGTATATTAGTTTCGGAGCTCAGCTTGTCTGAATGGATCACATTGGATTCTCTGGAATACCATAGCTTGCAATAATATTGCAATGCTTTTAACCACAACTTGCTTTTACGTATCAAGATCTTTGCAAGCTAGGGCATTGTAGAGAATCCAAGTCCGATCAGAAAATGGTTTGGTCGGCTCTAAATTCAGCACACTTAAAATGATTTGGCTATAGATCTAAATTTGATACCATATTGATTGTGATTGTGATTGCGCATGTGCATGTGGCTACGCAATTGCACTATTTGGAGGGGTGCCACTGTCAGGTGCTGTCTCAAGGCATTGTGAATTTCAGAATTGGATTATATGATTGTGAAATATGTATATAGGTATTTTAAAATTTTGGCACTGGTGAACTCAGTTTGATTCTTTGATGGTTGCTCATTACTTAATTTTTAGGGTTCTAGATTCCGAATCCAATCACTTTGAAACGCCAGGGCTGAAAAATACAAGAGAACATTGGTCAACTATCTAGTTATAGAAAATGGGTTGGCCGGGTCTGTTGGTTTACTTATGCCCAAAACTGAATTTGCAAAGTAGACTCGTATAGTATATTTAATTTTTTTTATTTCTCAGATTATTTCCACTTAGGCTACATTTGATTTGTGGATAGAATTAGGGATAAGTTATTATTGAGATATCATACAATGACTAGCATTTCTGAAATTATGTGACAAAAATGTTATTTTGAGACGAGTGCCTCATTCATTTTCTTTGGACTATATATTCATTTTGGACCTAGTTTGAACCGTTCATCTTGTTAAACATACCGAATATATTATTTATGTAAAAAATTAAATTGATCAGATATCAACAATCATATGATCGAATTATATATCTTCTAAACAAATTAAACAACAAATTGACTGTGATAATAGACTTCCTAAACTTTTAAAAATCATTATGATCTGACTATAAAGTTAACAATATTTGATAACTTGATTTTTTTTATAAATCATCTGCTTCACATAAACAGTCTAATAATCTTGATGGATGGTGTGGCAGCAGCACCCAATCCCATCACATGATCCTGTTAATTATGAAAAAGAGGAGCACATGAAATAGCATGTGTGGGAGGGGCGACTCTAAAGTCAAATGCCCGTAGCTAAAGGTTGTTTTAATGCAATTATATGCAATAGATAGAGAGGGCTTGTAGACCGTGGGGGCCAAAACTAAACATCAATAATGAGTTTGATTGCCACATTATATGGGGCATAATAATAATAATAATTTATAATGACTCCATGTGCTATTGACATGTACTGCTCTTTGTCTATAGATAAAAGGCATATTAGGTACAATAAAACGTGTTTGCCCTCAAATTGTTGTCCAACCTATGTCATATAAATGATGATCAAATCTAGCCCTTCTTGTTAGGGAATCCCAAGATTAAAGGTTACATACCCCAACTATAGGTGTGGCAAATTGTGATGGATTCCAATCTTAGTCCAAGGTGTGAATTGCTTGTTGCCTAAGAACTTGAGTACTTAGAAAAGAAACTAAACGTGTCATAAAAGATTACTTGTATGTACCAATTTTCAATTTTACCAAATAATTGTATTTTTATTTTTATCAAATTTGGTGGGTGAAGTTTTAGAGATTTTGAGAAATTTGTAAAACTCATCATAGGATCCATTCCAATGATTTAAATCGTTTATTACGTAAGTTTCTTTGTATATATCATTCATGAAAATGATTAGATCAATATAATAATTGTAACATTTTCACTTTATAGTGTTTCTACAAAAAAAGAAAAAAAAAAAGAAAAAAAAGTACATGATTTATTTTTAAAAATATAATTATTGTCCATTTTTTTAGAAATAAACGAGATAAAATAAAAATGTTATAATTATGACCTAATATATACTAAGAATCTTACAAAATGAACATTTCAAATTATCGAAACGAGACTCGTGATGAACTTCATGCGGCCCTCAATTTTTTTAAATTTATATTTAAACTTGATAACCTTTGCTTTAACCATGGGAATAATACATCCCTTACAAAAACCATAAAAAATAAATAAATAAATAAATTAGTCATCCAGTAAAATTAAATTAGACCACCAATAATCAACTGCAGTTGGAAGAGAGGGGGGAAATTTTTTAACTCTGTTGGTCACTCCGCTTTCAACGAGTAATTATCTTGTATTATATAAATTCTATATTGACGATTTATCTAATTAATGATAATATGTTATTGGATGGACACACAATCACGTGATCTTCTTAACCTGTATATGATAATTTCTCAAAATCTGATAACTCGCCAAACAAATTTTCTTAATTTTGTTTTAAAAATATTTTTGTCTACATAGGAGTAATATATTTCATGGTTTTTTAAACGAAAAATAGAAAATTGTTATCTTATTATTTCTATTGAAAAAAATGACAACATTACCAAATGCAAAGCTACTTTTTGGGCCGAAAACAAAAACAACAATTTTTTCTTTCTTTTTTTTTGTTTTTTGTTCAGTTTGGATTTCAATTTAGGATGTGGCAATGGCAAGAGGGCTTACAAATACATGTGCGTCACAATGGGACAAGACCTGTTATTAGGCCCAGTCCATACTATTATTGCTGCAACAATACTCCCCTTTCAGGCCCATCTTTAGTAATTGAAACGATATAATTTCCAATAGTTTAAAATAAATTACATTTCACTCACTTTTTTTGGGTAAATTACAAATACATTTTTTGAGATTTGTTTAAAGTATAGATTATCTTTTGTAATTTTAAAAATTACACATACCTCTTGTTAGAATTTTTTATTTAACAAAATTAACTAAAAAAATAAAATTCATAATTGCTTTAGTATGCAATAATAAAATTACCTAAATTATTAATTGAAACATATTTCTAAGATCAATAAAAACTGTTAATTGACTTTATAATTTATTAATAAAGGGACAATTTGTTATAAAATTAGAAATCTCAGGAGGTGAAATGTAATTTCCAGAATTATAAGGGGTGATTCGTATTTTAATCAAATCTCAGGAAGTGTATTTATAATTTATTTTTTTTTCTTTTTAAAATTTTAATTAAATTAATAATCCAAACATAGTTGAAAAGTAAAAATAGCTATCAAAGTTTGGCCAATTTATAATACATTGAAGAATTTGTTTCTAATGACATTAGGCTTGTTTGGTTCAGATTATTGTATGTTATAAATTGATAATTAAAAAATAAGAAAATTTACCCATAAGTCCTAGTTTTTGAAACGTTGAACCATTTAGTCCTAAAAGTTTTCTTATGCTCCATTTAGTCCTATTTTTACATCAACATGATGTGAATGATGTAAATGATCTGATGTTTCATTCTATAATTTCAAAATTTATTGAAATCTGATGAACATTAGATGTTTTTCATCCTATATTTTCAAACATTATTGAAATTTGATGAACATTAGATGTTTGAAATCTAATATTTGTAACATGACTCTGATGTTATTAACATTGCATCTGATGTTATTAACATTGTAATGGGACTTTTCAGTCTATAACAAAACTTTTAGGACTAAACAGTGCATAAGTTATTAATTTGGGATTTATTGGTGCATCCCCCTAAAAAATATAAGTAAAAAACACTTCCTTAACTTCCAAATAATCGTTTTTTTATTTTTATTTTATTTATGTAAACTATTTTTTGCCTAATAAATTATAAACAAAAACTACACAAAATAATATGATACAAATTTTCAAAATTAAAAATAAAATAAAATAAAAATAAAAACAGTTCAAATAAATTACACTAAACAAACGCATATCTTGGGGTCACAGACCGCAGGGCGTACACCCTGTTTTAGAAGGCTTGTTCGGGTGTAGGGTTGTTTGAGATGTGCTATATAAGTGCACTTTTTGACTTTTTGGCTAAAAAAGTGGAAAAAAAAAGATATATGTGCCTGTTTGACACAGCTTAAAAGCTGCTTGTTTCAACTTTTAGCTTAATTTAAGCTAAAATATTGTGTTTGGTATAACTTAACTCAACAGATTATGGATTAAGTTAAGCTATTTTTAGCTTGTTTTCCGAAGTTGCTCCAGGGGTGCTTAAAAAATTCAACTTATGCAGGCAGCTAGTATGGGGGCTGAAATGACTTAAATGCCCCTCCAAAATTGAGGAAATTATGAAACTACCATGATATATACCCTCTGTGTAGTCGTCCTTAGGGATGCAACTCGGGCGGGTTCGGTCGGGTTGGGAGGTTGTCCAAGCCAAGCCCAGCCCAGCCCAAGTTGTGTTGAGACATGCACAGGCCCGCCCAAGTTCGAATTGTAACCCAACGTTGCCTACCCAAGCCCGACCCGAGTTAAACCCGAATTGCCAGAATTGTAAATGAATTTCAATTTTTTTTTTTGCAGCTGCATTATTAAATTATTAAAATTTAACTCTATTTACAACTTTTTTTAATAAAAAATCATTAATACCATTAAAACAAATAACTTATATAATGTAAGAGAGATGTCGTTATAGTAGTCTTTACAATTTGTAAGTGAAAATAAAAAAAGTAAGATTTTATGTTATTTGTATATATAATTGTTGGCTACATATTTTGTATAAGCCAATCACAGTTCGACACGTGGTAGGTTGAGTGCAATACG